GACTCACACTCCAACTTTGCAGCATAGCGGCGCCGGTGGCCTGGGTTCAATCACAGTCGGTGCCGCCGGGATTTTCTGAGGCATAAAATCTCTGATCATGCCTTCCTTCGGAAGGGAAGTTAAGCTGTTGGTCCCCGGTTCATGAGTTGATGGGTCCATAAGTATGGTTCAGGTGTGGAAGGTGCCTCCCTGACGTCGGTAGTATTGGTGCTTACGGAAAACAAGATTGACGGAATACAAATTAAGAAAAAAAAGCAAGAGGTTGTACCCAAGACTCGACCGTAGATTAGACGTAGGATTACGTGTTCGGTATCAATATTTGGCGACTATGTTAGGGAAACCACTTTTTGCAGGCAATCGGTGATAATTTTGATAACCATTTCAACAGCTGGACATTTCAAGACCAACAATTGAAATGGCCTTAACTCCATTTTGTAAACAAACCTTGTAAGACCATTTTCTCGCGAATCGAAGTCCGTAAAGGCAAACCAACATAATGAACAGGTAGGGGAAATTCTCCTATACCCGTTTGTGGTTTAGGTTTGCGAATGAAGGTTTCGGTTCGCGAGAAAATGGCCTTACAAGGTTTGTTTACAAAATGGAGTTAAGGCCATTTCAATTGTTGGTCTTGATTTGTGTAATTTTCAATAGTAACCTATTGAAAATTGATGAAGTATTGAATTTAGCAGCTTTGAAGAAAAAACTACCTATCAATTGGCTTGGTGAGAATTAAAATTCATCCACTATTGACAGAGTTATAAGTGGTCAACACCTGACCACTTTTGGTAGCACGGTCGATTTTGTTTTTTTTTTTTTTAATTTCATCCCCAATATGTTGCCAAGAGACGTAATCCTATGTCAAAATGTAAACTTTGCGGGAGACGATGTCATAACACTCAAAAGCAATTTTGTGAAATATGAAGTGAAACAAATCCTCGTTCTGCATGATGACTTTGTTTGATTGTATTTATTTGTTAAGTCGCCGGGAAATGCCAGATGGCGAATTGTTTTTTTATGATAACTCTTCACTTGAAAACAGGCAAAAACTCACAAACAGGCTGCTTTTTCATGGTATATGGAGTGCTAATTCAATAATCAATCAACATTATGCCTCTAATTTTGGCTCATACATAAATTCAGCAATCAACTAAATTTTCAATAGGAACCAAAAATATTCAATAGTACCGTCCCAATGACGCGTTCATCTGGATAAAATTGATAAATAGCAGATTTTTAGCGATGGGCCCAATCTTAGATCCATAGGTTACCATTAGAGCCAATTCCCCTACAAAAAATTCTATAATCCATATTAAATTTCCTATGTAAGCGCCGATCAAAACAAACATTTTGACGTCACTACAAGGTTGATTGAGAAAAAAACGAATCGTGCAAAGCGGAATGAAAGCTGAGGGAAAAACGGATTAATCATTTTGTCAAGCTTCTGCTTTCATGTTCCATCAGATGTCACTGCTGTTGTTGGCGGTGGCATCGATCGGAAACTACACATCATTTGTTTTCCAATAACTGTTCACAGAGGACAGTGCAGTGCAAAGCATGTCTGGTACCTCTATATATGCATTTAGATTAACAACTGAAGTCCCTCCTTCTTTACACATTATTCACTCAAAATAGCTCACCCCTCTAAGGATTTCCTTCCGAATTGTATGAATGGGGCGGGACAGAAAGTAGCGTTTGAGCAGAATATGTAAAAAAGGAGGGACTTAGAATGTTAATCTAACTGCGGTACCAGACATGTTTTGTACTGTCAGATAGGGTTCACTACCCCATTTCCGGCTTATTAAGCACAACCCGCACTTAGTCTTCTTAATCTAGCGCAGTTTAGCACCAAACGGAATGTTATTATTACTGATGGCTTCCAAATTTATTTACCTTACGTACTGTAAAATTTGATATAGAGAAACAAATTGTTTAGATATTGTTATAAGTCAACCCTGCTTCTTGACGCCGCGCCAAACTCGGCCTACGGATTCTAAACTCGCATTGAAACCGCCAATGAATTCACTTCGGCCTATCGGATAAAGAAAAAAAAATGATTCGGTCGGAGAACTTCTTTTGTTTGTGGGAATTATGGGTGCAAACCTTCATATCACGCGTTTTCATTGACTTTATTCGGTAGCTTATTAACTAAATTATCGTACAAAACGCCTAATTGACGTGTTAACTCTAAAATCATGGATTTATTTGAAGTTTTCTGCTCGATAGGCCCAAAATCAGCTATAAGACCGAAGTAGTTCTCTACCCTACTCTATTTTGTAATCTATGAAAGGAAATCACAAATTGGGTGTCATAAAAGCATGGCAATTGAGATTGAGCTCGTGAGAGCTAATTTTCTCACAAATTTGAATATTTTTTGGCTTTCTGAGGATTGGTAGTAAAGCAGGTAAAACTGTATGAAGAAAAATCATTTATATTAAACAGTATTTTGTCCCTGACTAATAAATTTAACTTGTTGTTCACTTTTTTACCTGAATATGCACCTAAAGCAAATTATTTCCACTTCTTTCAAATTCTATATGTGGATTTTTATCACTTCCTACCAGCGGAACAGCTCCGTCTCTGGAAAATGGCCGGACGATATGATTAATCTCACCAATACAATCAGGCCTACAATTCCACACCTTCTATAGACAGGTTGAGCTGGTTGCGGGAACTGATGACCTTGACAAATGTCCAAATAATACTCTTTAACAATTTTGTGCTGGTCCTGAAAAGGACCGTTTAGTCGTGATGGTTGAGTAATGCTGAGCTATTGGGGTGTGGTTGGCGAGCTGTTAATTGTTTGGAGCAAGGTTGACACGCTTGGCATAGATGACCCACAGCTACTCACGAGGAAACTGATTTCGATCCAGCGGCTTCTTCCTCCTTCTATGGGTGCTCATGTGGGCTCTGCAGCTCACTGCTTGCAGGCTGCCTTTCGTGGGGTACGCCACACGCTAATCACTGCTGCTGCTGCTGACGTTGACGACCGGACACCACCACACACGGTGATTGAATGAGCACCGTTCAGTGAGACAGGATCGAATTCGATTTTTAAATCTGTGTTAGGGAATGCGCTGTTTGCAGGTAATCGGTGATAATTTTGATCACCATTGCAACAGTTGGACATTTGTGTATTTTTCAATAGTGACCTATTGAAAATTAATAAAGCGTTCAATTTAGCAGATTGGTAGATAAATTCCCAATTCTTTGGCTTGTTTAGAATTAAAATTCATCTGCTATTGACAGTGGTATATGTGGTCAAAACCTGACCTATTTTCGTCCCGCGGTCGATTTTGGTTTTTTTGGAATTGCACCCCCAATATGTTGCCGAAAGACGTAATCCTACGTCAAAAATAAAGCTTTGCAGAATTCTTGAAATCATTACATTGAAACAATACCACTAAATTGAGCATCGTTTGATTGGTCATCCAGAGTTGCCGTGAATGATTTTTAATTCAACCAGTAGATGGCAACACTGCTCGATAAGTCTCAATCTCAATGCTCTTGTGCAGCAATTTTCAATAAAAGGCGTATTTTTCTGGATAAGGGGCTGGCAGAACCCTTTGATATTTGGAATGCAGGTCCCAGTATAGAAGTACATTTAATTCGAAATGTAATACCTGGCTGGGAAAATGCTTTTGGTCAGTCTTTGTCAGTCGCTTCACAAAATAGTGATACGACATTACTGATAAAGCAATATAAAAACGGGGAATATCACAATAGATCAAAGTAATGGTCGCAGTGATGAATATACCCAACACGGAAAAAAAAGTCTCAATCGAAGCTCAATTTATCAGTTTCGTTATAAGATAACGAATTCGAATGTTCAGCAAAGTTGAAGAATGAGTAAAGAGCCAGCCAGAGTTGTCATGAATTACTTTAAATTATTTCGGAATATGGAACACAGCTGTAGTAGAATCACATGACTTCCGATTTAAAAAAAAAGCTCAAACTTTGCCGATTTTGCGCCTCCTCAAATCACGTCGGATTGAGACCAAATTTCGCACAGGGTCTTTTTTGGAGGCAATAAACATTTTGCACATGTGCCGTTTCGAAAACACAAGATGATCATTTTCTTTGGCGCCCAAGTGTACATGTATTCTGGTTGTCTAGAGAGCTCTGAAAATTGTTAAAAATTCTTAACTTAAATGTTATCTTAGCTGGAAAGCTTAAATTAGTAATAAATGTCAATAAGAAATTTGATTGCCCAAGAAATTTTAAAATATGAACGAATGAATAGAGACATAAAAGTCATAAAATGAAGTCTACAAAAATACTGAACATTTAAAAATTAATTGTCCAAAATTGGGTAAACATTGAAATTATTCTATGTTCAGGACCTCGAAAACTTGTTTGAACCGAAATACAGAGTGCAAATTTAAAAATAAATTTAAATTGTTCTAAATTCTAAAGGCTTTCATACACTAAAATTGATGCATAAAACCAAAAAAATAATGCCTGGTCCTTTCTATGAAGTACCAGCCATTGCAGTCATAAACAGCTATATAATCAGTCTATTCGCTAAACTTTTTATCTGATCGATTTCAATCAGTTTTTGCGGTTTCAATCTTATCCAAATGAATGCAAATAGCAGCTAGCAGCTAGCAGCAAGCAACAACAACAACGTTCCACCGCTTTCCGTTCTCCCATCACATTTCGGTTCGCGGTTGATCGTGACTCCCTAGCAAATCATTGAACTTCTTCTGTCGCACCGCGCCGCCAAGGTTAAAAATGGTTTCACGCTATTATCAATTATTTATGTTATATTTTTATTACTCGTGTAGCTCATCCTACTGCCGCACATTACGAAATAGTAGAACCTTGCCCTTCGTGTGGTGGGGGAAGCAGATGAAGAAGAGCAACAACGACGATTGACTGAACTGAGTCTCGATCGCATCGTGTCGCGGCAAAAGGGTGCAGGTACAAGGAATGATAAAAATTTGCTCGTCCTTCTCGGGGCTTTGCCGACGGTCTGTTATTAGTAGGAGGTTTGAACTTACCGGCACGATAGTCGATGCCCTCGAGCAGTGGAGCGGACGAGGACGAGCTGGCGGGCGACATCGTGACTCCATCTGGACCGGCCGAGCTGGCCGCGGTGGTGGAGGTGACATTGTCCTCCGGGAACCGCACCGGCATTCCGGTGCTGGTGGAAATGTTGAACATAGATGCTATCGACTGCATCGAGCTAGTGATGTTGAGGGTTGTTGTAGTGGTGATCGTCGTACTCTCAACGCTGGTACTGCTCGGCGTAGTGGTGGCCCAGGTTGTGTTGGCGTACTTGTTTAGTTCGGTTATGATCGAACTGGGCGGCTCCGGGGTAGATTCATAGCTTTCAGAACTGAAGCTTCCTTCTTCTTCTCCTTCTTCGGATTCCTCCTCGCTACCGCTGCCTTCTTCGGAACTGGTTTCTTCGGTGGTGAGGTCTGTGATGGAATCGACGGTGGATGGTTCCACGGTTGAGTCGGCTGGAGTGGTTGAAGTGATCTTCGATGAACTCGTTGATGGTGCGAGGATTTCGATCAGAATCTCCGGGGTAGTCGTTGAAGTAGCTGTGTTGGGGAACGAGTTTCGGTTAGTGTCAATGTAATGAACGAAAGTGAGGAAAGGTTAGACAGAAGTGGACAAAGCAGACAACACATGCAACATATTACCCGGTGATGTTTCCTGTTCTGTAGTAGTAGTAGTAGTAGTGGTGGTGGTGGTAGGGGTTGTGGTAGTGGTGAGCACCATGCTTGTTGGGGCAAATGAACTTGTGTATGATTCTAAACTTGTACTACTAGTGACATGCGGTGGGGTGGTTTCAGTAGCCGTACTGCTACTGGTTGACTCAGTAGCAATGGTACTGGGACTTGGAGTCGTTCGTTCACTAGTTGGCGCTATGGTTGTCGGGGTGACGGTGGTCGTTGCCGTTGGCTCCGGAGTAGTGGTTGTAATGGTCTCCTCAGTTGTAGTGGTCAAAGTGTTTGTGCTACCAACAGTGGTGGCAGCTTCACGAACCGCTTCAGTTGTAGACGTGGCGGTAGACGAAGGTGTACTGCTGGACGTAGTACTAGTACTTGTAGATGGCTCATCGAATGTGGTGGTGGGTAGTGAGGTCTGTAAGCTATCCTCTGTGGATGTTGAGGAATCAAGTTGCGAATGAGATATGAGATCCCCGGTTTGGGTTTGATTAGTTTCATCATGAATGGTGTAGATGTAGGCTGCTTCCGGCAGTAGCGAATCGAGCGGAGGTAGAAAGATGTCCGGCAAGGACTCCGGTTCTCCAAGCTCAATCAATGACGCGGATGGCGCTGATGGTTGAGTTGATGGTGGGCTGTGATTGTTAGTCAGATTGGTGCCGAGCACCGCTTCCGGGGTTAGTGTATGAATCAGTATCCAACTGTTTGATGTAGTGGGACCTGTTGGTGCTGATGGGCGAATGGCATTAGTTACCGTTGGATGGTTACGAACGGGTGATGCATTTGATTTGTGAATGAATGGAACGGGTGAATCTTACCTGGTTCGGAAGGGTTCTTCTCGCTGCTGGATGGTTCATCCACATAGCTGGACCAGGTAACAAAACCGGTACTAGCAGTGGTCTCATCCAGGAGGTTTTCGGTTTGTGAAGTTTCCGGTTGGTAGTCGGCGTCTGCGGGGGGAGTTATTCGTCCAGCGGAGGTGGTTGGTTTTGGGATCAGTGTAGTCTTGGTTGTCGTTGTGGGTGGTTCAGTTGTGGTAGTCGTGGTCGTAGTCGTCGTAGGAGCGGCAGTAGTCGTAGTCGTCGTAGGGGCGACAGTAGTCGTCGTCGTCGTAGTTGTTGATGTCGTCGTCGTCGTCGTTGTCGTTGTCGATGGAGTGGTTCTACTAGCCGTAGTCGTCTCTTGCTGTGTCGTCGTTTGCGGAGTAGTGGTCGGCTTTTCCCTTGTTTCCTTTATGGTGTTTGCGGTAGTACTTTCCGTTGATGACGAGTCTTGACCAGTGGAAGACAGAAAGTCATCAATCAGGTGTTCCAGGGATGTCGCAGGAACGGTAACGATTTCTGCTGTAGGTCTTGGTCGAGGTCGCGGTGCTTGGGTAGTCTCAGGTTCCGCCATGGTAGTGGCAGTCGTAGGTCTTCGTCGAACTGGTGGTCGAGTTAGTGGTGCCACCGCTGGTGGCTTCCTGGATGGTATGAAGAATGTAGTCTCCTCCGACGATTGAAGTGCAGTAGTGGTCGGTTTTCTTGAATAGGTTGTTGTTCGTCTAACGGTCGTTGAACTTGCGGTAGTCGGTTGTTGGGAAGAACTGGTAGTCATCTCAGCAGACGTTGTTGGTCTTCGAGTTGCCGTGGACCATGAGGTAATATTCCGCTTAACTTCCGGCAAGGTTGTCAGAATGGCTTTTGGAGTAGTGGTCTGAGTAGTCGGTCTCCTGGTCACATTTCTGTTTGGTGTAGGTCTCCTAGTCTTATAAGGTTTCGTTGTATTTCTCGGAGGAGTTCTCCTAGTGGTAGTAGTTCGTCGACTAGTCTCTGTCGCACTCTGAGTCGGGTTTTTACTGCTTTGAACGTATTGGAAGGTGGAAAATTCTTGATACTCTGTTGTCGAAGGAACATCGTCCTTTTGTTGGAGTTTTAACGTCGTTGCAGCCGCTGTAGTGTTTCTTCGACTGTATTTCGTAGTCGTTCGACGGGTGGTCGTCGACGAAGTGCTAATCAGCGCATATTTGGTCGAGTTGCTTGGCTTCGCCGTCGACGGGAGTATCGTTTCTGTTAGCGGTGGTTTCTTATTGGTATCGATCACAGGTGGAAAGTGTTGGTAGTGTAAACCTGAGTGGTTATTGTCTATACTGTTGTCGGTAATTTCGTACTTGAACAGTAAACTGTCATCCTGGAAGGGAAGAGAGTACGATAAGCTTCAAATTTGGCTGGCAGACTTCATAATGAAAGAACTTACGTGAACCTGACAGCAGGATCCGAAGAAGATTTTGTCTATGCAAACACCGAGATGGGTGCCGTTGGATTTGAAACAATCGATGGCAAACATGCAGATGCCTTCCGCACCGGAACTCCGCACAACGCATGGTAGATGTCGTAGGTTTCGGCTGACTGGAAAGACAAATAAGGGGACAATTATGTGATTAGTGGTGGATTGATCATAACATTATATCAGCTTTGAGAAGAAACTACATGGATTACGTTTGAAGACATCTTCTTTGAAGTAAACGATTCCAATGCTACACCACCTTGACTGGTGACATCTCTGGGTTCATTGCCACTTAGATGCATGTTTGGAATTGATCTGCATCGGAAAAGTCTGTCGTGCACGAGACACGTTTCAGAACCAGACACCTACATGAATTTCAAGCACACTGAACCTTCCGTTTACTAAGTCTATTTTTACGCAGTATGCAATTATTTTTTCGCACTTAATTTATTTGTACAGGCTCAATCGAATAAACTTTACAGAGCCAAAATATTATTTCCGTTATACATTAATTAAAAATAAAGTTAAAAGAATTCAACCGAATACTCGCGGTCTTCTCGAGCAATAGCTATAGAGCTCAGATATGACTCCACGATGCTTAGCACTTCACCAAATAATGTGATCTGCGTCCTGGTAACCTTGTCGACATTCACAGAGATTGTGTTAACGAATGAAGTTTCGACCCACCTCCAACCTCAACGTGCAGTAGTCGTTAAAACAATTATCAAGAAGTTGTACAAAAGGGGGCTTAAACATGAGCCTTGGGGGAGATCCATGAAGCTAAATCGTAAAGCTGTAGGGTTCCTATAAGAAAAGCTCATATGTTTCTCTGACAGTAAATTGTACAAATAGTTATTAAAGGAGAAAGACCACATGCGTGTAGATTTTCTGAAAGGTCTTTAACCGATACTGAATAAAAATCCCTCTTGATAGCCAAGAACATGGAAGCCATTTGCTCTGTTTTTAGCATAAGCCAACTGAATTTCTGTGGAAAGCAACACGAGACAGTCGTTTATTCCCTTGCCCCTACGGAAACCCAATTGAGTATCTGAGAGGACCCATTAGTCCAAGCAAAAAAGGATCACTTTCTCCAACAATTTTCGTATGCACGACAACATCGCGATGAGTCGATACGAGTTGCAATCTGACGCAGGTTTGCCAGGCTTATTAATGGCTAAAACTCGCGCCTGCTACCAAACATCCGGAACAATATTGAGCTCCTGGAACTGACCAAGCAAGTTCAACATGCGCCTCTTAGCGTCGTCTGGGAGGTTCTTCAAAGCGCGTTCCAAAGCGTATTCCTCGACGTTTCGCTCGATAAACCATCCAAGAATTGTCGCCAGTATCCACGTTTCTTGGCTTTGATGAGGCTCTTACTTCGCGTTCAAAAACCGAGTATGCTTCAAAATGCATGGGTGTTCCACGTTTCCGGAAAAGCTTAAACGCGTCGGACTTTTTACGATAAACCTCAGTGGTTTTCCACTGGGTTTACTGGTCAAAGCTGTGGTAGAAAGTTGCAGCAACTTGAGTTGGACTAAAATAACTCACATAAAAGATGCCTCAACCGGTTTTGCAACATGTGTGCTGCTAGAGAAGGAGTTATCCTATGGAAAGACGTTCCTGGAACCGGTCGAGTTTGAGTTTGAAACGCGCGTTCCAAGATTGGAGAGGAATTTATATTCCTCCAACGGAAGAAGCCCTTCTACCAACGTTAAGGCTTCATCTATCACAGTCTTGAACTTTGTCCAAACGATATTACGGGTTCCAACGGATTGAACCCGCTGGCAACTGAAACTTTGATCGGAAAATGATCACTATCGCAGGGATCTTGGGTCTCATTCCATGTGCAATCCAACGATGATTAATTAGAACAAAGGGTGAGGTCTAATCTACTTCCATTCGAGGATGTGAATCAGCCAAACGTGTTACTTCTCCATTGTTAAGGATTATCATATTAAAGTTGTTCCGTGGGAATTAAAAATATCCCATAATCAACCGTTCAGTAGGAAGAACTGAACAGATATCTGAAAGTTGTTTTCGATTAACCGAAACTTGAACCTTTAAAAATAGCCTGACATGCGACAACTTCAATACCTGGAAATTGTGGAAGATTCACTCTATCGAAAGGATGTCACTTTTTGATCCCCAAAAGTACCCCTTCTCCACGCGAATAATCACGATCCAGTCGAATAAACTTAAAATCATAAAAAATAAGGATATCTAAAGAGAGCCAAGTTTCACAATGATCAAATGAATCACAACCACTATTGTGAACTAAAAACTTAAATGGGTCTAATTTAGGAATAAGACTTCGACAATTCCTCTGTAGAACAGTGATCAAATCCCCGACCTCGTTTGGAAAATTATCCATCGAAGAAAATGATTGCTGCAAGGAGGTGTCACTTCAATGGCAATTGCTTCAAGAGGGTTTTCACAGAAGGAAGCATTTCCAGAACAATGCTTTTAAATAGATCAGAAATATCAAGGTACTTGAGGATACCGTCCACAATGTTATCAAATGAGACCAACCCAGATGCAGAAGGGGCTTCTGTTCTTGAAATTGGGGTATCGGGGGTTTTCTTCCTCCTCGGGAGAGGAGGAAAATCCTGTGTAAAGTCAGTCCTGCGGAATTCAGGAGGAGTAGAAGGCTCCTTTTTTCAGAACTCCGTGATTTAGGTAAGCTGATTTGGAGATCCTGATCTACAACTTTCCGCGAACGGGTGCGTCTTCGTTTTCATGCAGAACCATCCGGAAAATTGAAAGGAGTTCCCTCCTCAGCCAAGTCAGAGTCATTTTTAAATCCAAGATGGCGGTTTCCGGTTACAGAAAAACTTGGAAATTCTGTAAAATACCACACAAAATGGGTAGTTTTGGAATCGGCGAGACGTGTAGAGACCATGGATTTTCGGTTCCTACAAGTCACCTTGTTTGAAAAAATACCCATATTGTTGGGTATTGGACAGTATTTTTCTGTTTTTCTGTAACCGGAAGCAGCCATATTTCCATTAACTATATAAGAGCTCTGCTGTCGTTCCTCCACTCATGGCCATTGGTTGCTAGACCGTCTAGCAGTATAGTTTGTTCGTTCGTTCGTTCGCTCCGGTATCGAGTTTCTTCTAATTAATTTTATTGGTAAGTTCACGTCATCGACAGGCATGTTGGCAAGTCTAATTGCACTTGCCACTACTCCTGCATCGGAGAGGCCTAGTAAAAAGGCCCAAATGGACACCAGGGCTGCTTCGGATGACGCAGCTAATCGGCTCCTACAGAGCAACCAATTCTCGGTGCTCGGAGTTGAAAATGGCAGTGGTGACGCCGCTGAAATTGCCAAAAAGGAGCGGATTCCCTCGCTGTTAACCACGATGGATGACGTCGCCAAGCCAAGGGATGAGCTGGCAAAACTCAAATTGTTCCCGCGATTCAAGATCTGTAGCGTAGGAACAAAAATCATGAGCTCCAGCCTACAGCAGTGCAAGTCGGTCGGTGACATACTGAAGAACAGTATGGTGGAGTTTTACACCCAAGATTTGAATCGGTGTAACCATTGAAGGTTGTTTTACGGGGATTGCCGTCGTACGAAGCGGCTGCCGTAAAAGATGAACTGGTGAGGCTAAGATTGAAACCAGAGGCACTCCACCCAATGAATCGACGGCATATGCCCAATACTAACTATCGTGACCAACTGTTTCTGGTCCACTTCACGAAGGGCTCCGACACCCTTGCTGCAGCAAATGAAGAGCAACATACGTGTCCTGTTTCAGGTCATTATCTACTGGGAATCCTACAAACCACAACACCGACCATAGCACGAAGAACTGTCATATGAAACCACGCTGTGAATTGCGGCGGTACTCACCGTTCCACTACTCGGGACTGCCCCAAGCAAACGGAATACATCAACATCAGGAAGAAGGTGGCTACTAGCAACCGATTTTCGAAGCAAACGTACGCTAAAAGCCATCACGGATCAACAATACCCGGCAATCCAATCATCAAGGCGCTCCCTGAGCTCATCTAACCATCGCCTCACTGCTGCAGTGGCTCTGCCAAATCAAGTTTCTGCCCCGGCTCCTGGACTAGCGTATGCCTGTGTTGCCTCAGGCGAATCAGTTGACGAATCTCCGTTTACATTGGAGGAACTAGTAACGCTGGTTGCAGAGGTGATCGTCATCCTGCGCACCTGCAAGACTCGATCTGAACAGCTTCATGCCGCCTTATCTCTCGTCACCAAGTATGGACCATGAAGCTATAAAAATAGCAAATTGGAACGCTTGCACGCTGAAGAACAAGCATAGAGAGCTACTCGATTACCTCAACACCAAGGAGATCGACATTGCTATCATCACCGAGACGCACTTGAAGCCCGAACTGAACGTATTCCTTCCCGACTTCCGGCTCGTCAGACGTGACCGCACCTGCTCCGGGGGTGGGGAGTGGCCATCGCTGCAAGACGAAATATCAGTTGTCGGCTGCTACCATCATCGCTGGCGACCTGAACGCAAAACACCAACTTTTGGGCAACGGTCTGAGCAATCGAAACGGCACCATCCTGAATGAAGACCTGCAAGAGGGCCACTATACCATCTTGGCCCCGGACACTCGCACTCGGTTGAGTGGATCTGTGATCCATGCGACCATCGACATCGACATCTCGCAACCTGTGGCCTTCCAGGAGCTGAGCTCGGACCACTACCCGGTGATAGCCGTTTAGGTTATATGAGGGTACTGTAGACCATGATTTGGACTTGTAGAGTGCTTTAAAACGTCAATAAAACTTGCAATTTTAGTTAGACTGGGATGTGCAATACGTGCTTGTGAACGATTTCCCACCGGAGGTATCCCACTGCGATCAAGCGTTTGGTTAAACGTGTTATCCAAAAATAAATTTCCAACGGAGATGGGATGGACATTGAAGTGTGCACGAGGAATATATTTTATAACGGAGGATTAAAGACAAGTGTTTCATATGCGGAAATATCCCTAACGAATAACCCAGAAACAGTAAGAAAAATAACTAATAAGGGTGATGAAATTGACATGTCAAGGAGAGGAAATGAAGTAAATTGAAGAAACAAGTTACTTCTACTGTATTTCAAATCAATATTAAGAAAAATGCACGAGA